GCGCAACCTGCAGGACAGCTCAGGTGTTTCGTCTCCAGTAAAGACCACTAACCAGACCTGATAGACCCTCAGAATTAGACCAGCACTGGTCCTGGTTCTCAGACTGAGAGAACATTTCAGGGACAAAAGGACAGATAAAGTCTCAGAGACAGAAAAGCAGTGTGTGTAATAATTATAATAATTTAATGCTTTGTGTTGAACTTTATACAGTTTTACTGTGTGAACCTGAATGCTGCAACAATTTTCTCAGTGATAAAGTCCAAAGTCATCATTTGCAATAAACACTGAAACATGGCTTCATGTGCAATGTGTGAACAGATTTCTGCCTTTAAAACATTTCCTGTTAATAATGTTGACTTTATGTTTCTCTGATTTCTTTTCATTTGAATTATTCTTAATTAATTAATGGGTTGAATCAGACCTCTGATCTTCACTCACACAGACTGAGACCAAAGGAAGATCCGTTTCCCACACCGGGAGTTGAAACCCGGCCCGCCTGGGTGAAAACCAGGAATCCTAAACCGCTAGACCATGTGGGACTTCTCCATGTGAGGAGCTGAAGATACTGTTGCTTCTTAAAGTATTCTTCACACCAGCAGCTTTGTTCATGTGTCAGTGGTTCCGGTTCAGCTGCCAGTGGGCGACCACATTTATCCAGCATGAATCTGAGTCTAAGTGACTGGGGTTGTTAAGTTACTCAACTAACCGAGTTAATCTGTGGTAGAACAGATGAATATAACATGGTCCCTTCTGTACTTGTGTGATCTGACTCTCAGACGAATCCACTGACTGTGGAAACTGGTCTGAAGCGTTTCAAGTTGTTTGACTTTGATAGTTTCAGTTTCATTCCAGCTGCGTAGAGGAGAGAGTGCATGTCTGAGCTTGATGTCGTTGTTGATTTTGAATGTAATGTGTTTGGTGTGTTGGTGTTTGTTGTTGTGAGTTGTGTGTGTTGTTGTGTTGTTGTGTGTGTTGTTGTTGATTGTGTGTTGTTGTTGTTGTTGTTGTGTTGTGTTTTTTTGATTGTTTGTTGAGTTGTTAGTTGTTGTTGAGTTGAGTTATGTTTTGGTTGTTGTTAGTTGGGTTAAGTCTAGTTCGTGTGTTGTTGTTGAGTTTGTTTGTTGTTGTTTGTTGAGGTTGGAGTTGGTGTTTTGCTGAGTGTTGTTTGTTGTGTTGTGTATTGGTGTGTTGTTGACGTTGTTTGTTTGTTGACGTTGAGACGTGGAGTTGTGTGTTGTTGTTGAGTTGTTGTGTTGTGTGTTGTTGTTGAGTTGTGTGTGTTGTGTGTTGCCATGGCAGCAGCAGCTCTCGGTCTGTGTCGTCAGTCAGAGTGATGAGTTCAGCTTCCACTCATTCGACTAAGCCTGAAACAAAACCTTCACAAAGCCTCAGAGATAGATATCTGCAACAGACAGACATGAATCACTGCTGCACAAACACACACACACACACACACACACACACACACACACACACACCTCACTGGTGCAGCTCAAACGGACATATAAACTGTAGATTTGGTTTGATTAGTGTTTCAGTCTTTATGCAGCTTCACCAAAACCCTCTTTGTCCTTTAAGTTAAAATTAATCCGCCGCTAAAAATAGTCCCCAACAGCTGCCCTGTTTCCTCCTGTGTGATAGAGACGACAGTGATCAGCTGATTCAGTAAATTAGAGAAGCATTTTAAAAATGAAACTTGATATTAGTGAGGAGTCTTTACGTCTTCGGTAGGAACCAGTGAGCGCAGAGACACAGACAGAGGAGGACAGAGTTTAGAGACAGACATCTGAATAAACTAGTCTCTTGCTTTTGGTCCAGTCAGATGAACATGAATAACTTTATCCACTAAAACTTTATAAACTTTACACCAACTTGTTGTCGTCATGACGTCATAACACAGTGATGTAACAGCAGCAGAAAAGCCTGGACACCCAGTGAGAGCCGTGACTCCGCCCCCTGTCTTTATTGTAGTCAGCTGTTCGTGACAAAGGCTGCACAATGATCCAGCAGCTAACTTAAAAAAAAACTCATCAAACAAAGGTGCTTTTCTAATGAAGCATATTTCAGCTGAGAACTGCTGAGCTCAGCACGCTGTCTGCAAGAAGGCATTTCCTTTGTGAGTGTTCAGCTCTGATCACTGACCTTTGTTTCTCTGACAATGGAAATATTCAATAACAAGAAGACCTGCCAAATCCCCCCCCACACACACACAACAAGCCCCCAATGATAACAGTGTAATGTGGCTGAGTGTACTCAGTGTCCAGTTTATTAGGTACACTTGTCCACAGCTGACAAAGTGTGATCCAAACCTGGTTCTAATGTTCTGATGAAAGAACACGATAAAAGTGAAGAACCTGAACACACGACGAGAGCAGACTCAACACAAACTGAACCTTACAACCTTCATGAAGGAGGATTATCACAGGACTGAGTTAGATTTACCCCTCACACACTGTTGATGCTTCTGCCTTCACAGTAAGAGCTCCCTCATGATAAGTGTCTGTAGTGAATCTATGCAGAAAGTATAAACACCCTCTCTGACATTAACACATGGAGGATTCATCCTTCATTAAAGTGTCAGAGCAGGGAGAGAGTATTCTTTCATCTTACTCTAAGGCTAACCCAAAGCTAATTCATTTTCTGGCTAATTAGCTAGCTAACGTGCTAAGCTAATAAGCCAGGTATGACGAGCGCATTCACTCCGATACCTGCTAATTAGTAACATTGTTTCACTCTCCTCTAAAAACAGAAGCTCAGACTTCTGTTAGTCAGCTGTTAGCAGCTAGCTAATTGTGACAACACCCACCTGTCACTCAAAGAGGCCACGCCCTCAATCCTCCATAACTGTAGTCCTTAATAAAATGTGAACAGGTGAGATATATAAACAGGTGTCATGAAGGAGCAAATTAGTTTCTGTACCAGACTGTAAACATGTTGATTTCTGCTGTAAAGTTTGAAGTCTGACTCACTGTTGGAGCCAGACTCTAGTGGTCATTAGAGGAACTGCAGCTGCTGGTTCTTCACTGTTGACTTCACTTGTCATGTTCTGACTGTATCTGTGTCACTGCGTAAGGTGAATAAACACCCCGTCCAATCAGAGCTGCTCATCGCTCCTGATGTTTCCTGATTATGTTTCTCTGCATCAGCTCATCACTCACTGCAGGACTCTGATTGGATGAAGCTACTTCCTGTTACAGGGTTCAGGTTAGTCTCAGTAACACCTGGAGGGAACTTCTTCAGATTTGACACAAACATTCACTTGGACTCCAAGTTGGAAGGAGGTGATTGTTGTCAGTTGTCAGTCAGTTGTGACCATAGTAACAGAAACAGTTGAGCTCAGGTCACAGCTGAGGACAATCAGAGTCAATCAAGTCAGAGCAGTGAACACAGTCACGTCTTCATTCACCGCTCATTACAGGGTTCATATGATCTAATCAGCAGGTCTCCATCAGTCTGAGAGCTGAGCATCACACTCCGTTTAACCCTGATGTCCCTGAACGCATCCGGTCTGGTCCTGGTGTGTCCTGGTCTGGTCTGGTCTAGTCTGGTCTGGTCTGGTCTGGTCCGATCTGGTCCGGTCTGGTCTGGTCTGGTCTGGTCTGCTCTAGTCTAGTCCGGTCTAGTCCAGTCTAGTCTGGTCCGGTCTGGTCCGATCTGGTCTGGTCTGGTCTGGTCCGGTCCGGTCCTGGTGTGTCCTGGTCTGGTTCGGTCTGGTCTGGTCTAGTCTGGTCTAGTCCGGTCTAGTCTGGTCTGGTCTAGTCTAGTCTGGTCCGGTCTGCTCTGGTCCGGTCCGGTCCAGTCTAGTCTAGTCTAGTCTAGTCTGGTCCGGTCTGCTCTGGTCCGGTCCGGTCCAGTCTAGTCTAGTCTAGTCTAGTCTGGTCCGGTCTGCTCTGGTCCGGTCCGGTCCAGTCTAGTCTAGTCTAGTCTAGTCTGGTCCGGTCTGCTCTGGTCCGGTCCGGTCCAGTCTAGTCTAGTCTAGTCTAGTCTGGTCCGGTCTGCTCTGGTCCGGTCCGGTCCAGTCTAGTCTAGTCTAGTCTAGTCTGGTCCGGTCTGCTCTGGTCCGGTCCGGTCCAGTCTAGTCTAGTCTAGTCTAGTCTGGTCCGGTCTGCTCTGGTCCGGTCCGGTCCAGTCTAGTCTAGTCTAGTCTAGTCTGGTCCGGTCTGCTCTGGTCCGGTCCGGTCCAGTCTAGTCTAGTCTAGTCTAGTCTGGTCCGGTCTGCTCTGGTCCGGTCCGGTCCAGTCTAGTCTAGTCTAGTCTAGTCTGGTCCGGTCTGCTCTGGTCCGGTCCGGTCCAGTCTAGTCTAGTCTAGTCTAGTCTGGTCCGGTCTGCTCTGGTCCGGTCCGGTCCAGTCTAGTCTAGTCTAGTCTAGTCTGGTCCGGTCTGCTCTGGTCCGGTCCGGTCCAGTCTAGTCTAGTCTAGTCTAGTCTGGTCCGGTCTGCTCTGGTCCGGTCCGGTCCAGTCTAGTCCAGTCTAGTCTGGTCCGGGCTCGTCCGATCTGGTCTGGTCTGGTCTGGTCTGGTCCGGTCCGGTCTGGTGTGTCCTGGTCTGGTCCGGTCTGGTCTGGTCCGGTCCAGTCTAGTCTAGTCTAGTCTAGTCTGGTCCGGTCTGCTCTGGTCCGGTCCGGTCCAGTCTAGTCTAGTCTAGTCTAGTCTGGTCCGGTCTGCTCTGGTCCGGTCCGGTCCAGTCTAGTCTAGTCTGGTCTAGTCTAGTCTGGTCCGGTCAAGTCTAGTCTGGTCTAGTCTAGTCTGGTCCGGTCAAGTCTAGTCTGGTCTAGTCTAGTCTGGTCCGGTCCAGTCTAGTCTAGTCTGGTCTAGTCTAGTCTGGTCTGGTCCGGTCTAGTCTGGTCTGGTCTGGTCCGGTCCAGTCTAGTCTAGTCTGCTCTAGTCTGGTCTGCTCTAGTCTGGTCTGGTCTGGTCCGGTCCAGTCTAGTCTAGTCTAGTCTGGTCTGGTCTGGTCTGGTCCGGTCTGGTCTGGTCTGGTCTGCTCTGGTCCGGTCTGGTCCGGTCTGCTCTGGTCCGGTCTGGTCCGGTCTAGTCTAGTCTGGTCCGGTCCAGTCTAGTCTAGTCTGGTCTGGTCCGGTCCGGTCCGGTCCGGTCCGGTCTGGTCTGGTCCGGTCCGGTCTGGTGTTCCCAGATCAACAGACACACAGCAACAGGAAGTTAAAGAGAAAAGCGGTCAGGCCGGTCTGGTCCGGTCTAGTCTAGTCTAGTCTAGTCTGCTCTGGTCCGGTCTGGTCTGGTCCGGTCCAGTCTAGTCTAGTCTGCTCTAGTCTGGTCTGCTCTAGTCTGGTCTGGTCTGGTCCGGTCCAGTCTAGTCTAGTCTAGTCTGGTCTGGTCTGGTCTGGTCCGGTCTGGTCTGGTCTGGTCTGCTCTGGTCCGGTCTGGTCCGGTCTGCTCTGGTCCGGTCTGGTCCGGTCTAGTCTAGTCTGGTCCGGTCCAGTCTAGTCTAGTCTGGTCTGGTCCGGTCCGGTCCGGTCCGGTCCGGTCTGGTCTGGTCCGGTCCGGTCTGGTGTTCCCAGATCAACAGACACACAGCAACAGGAAGTTAAAGAGAAAAGCGGTCAGGCCGGTCTCTGCGTTATCTGATAAAAGCTGTTAAAGGTGAGTCAGACTCGCTGAGGGAAGGTGTGAGTATGTGAATGAATGCAGCAGGTGGTCGATGGTGTAAATGATAAGAGTGATTCAGCAGAGATGAACTCACGACACTGATTCAATCAATGAGATTAATGGATGTTGAATTCTTTCACACACGCTGCAGGTTTTAGATTGACTCTGGATCTTGTTATTTGTGTTTGATGCATCGTCATGATGCTTTTTGTTTGTTGTTTTTTGTTGGGTTTTTTTGTTGTTTTTTCTTTATTCAGTGTCTTTGTGAAACGTTTGTTTTCATGTTCGTAGCATGTTCCTTCGAGTCAAGACAAGTTTCTCCTTCAGGACACAATAAGAGCAACCTTTGTTTGTTTGTTTGTTTGTTTGTTTGTTTGTTTGTTTGTTTGTCCGTCCCTCTTCAGGGACCTGGAGGGTGAACAGGTTTCAGTTTTCAGCTGCTGAGAATAGAAATGACCATAATTCAGACCTTTGAGTTTGTCTCCACCCAGAGGAGCAGAGAGGAACTGCAGGTGATGGAAGGAACAATAACTCGTTTCCTATTCTCTTTCATTTTGCTCACGTTCTTTCCTCATCACTGATTGGCTCCTGTTTTCACCTTTGCCACGCCCCATTTATCTGATGAAGATCACCTGGTCATTCCAGGGTTTTTTATTTATTCATTCACTTTTTCACCTTTACAGTTCTGGTAGGAGGAGTTGGTGTGTCCATGTCTGTCTGACTTTATTGGCTCCTAGTTTACAGCTCTTCTTCTTCTGTGGTTTGGCTAATGTTTTTGTTTTTGTGTTTTCTGAAATATTATTGTTGTGTTTTGTCCGGTGTTGTTGTGTTTGGCGCCTCAGGGCTTCCGAAGCTGACACACCTGTCATCACAGAGCCTGAGACGAGACTCCTCGCTCCCTCTCAGGTCTGAGCTCTAAGAACAAACTCCACCCGCCTGGTGTGACAGGAGCCATAAAACAAACGCTCAGTGGAACCCACTGCTGACACTGCAGAGTCTCAGTTTACCAGCAGGCCGCTCTTCACTTTCACTTCCTCTTCACTCGGTGGTTCTTTCACTGTGAATTTATCCACAGAGGAACTTCCTGTTCTCTCCGAACACGGACACGTTCTGTGTTTTCAGGACTGACCCGGACTCTCTCTGGTTTCCTGGACCTCCTGAACCAACGGACGGTAAGAGGGTGACAGAGTCCTAATCCAGACCGGTGAGGACGAGTCAGGCTGTTACTGGTTGGTCTGGTGTGATTGTGTTGCAGATCAGCTGACTGGGTGTGATGGCATTGCCACAGAAGACCACCACAGACCAGACGGAGACGGAGCGACCTCGAGCTTCAGGTAGAGTCTCACAGTGCTGTTGGACCACTGGTGTCTGTATTTATAAAGACACGTCCTCCTCTACCCAGGGGTGAGGGTGAGGGTGAGGGGTGAGGGGTGAGGGCTGAGGGGACCCCTGGACCAGAAGCTCCAGATTAAGTGACTGTTAACATTTCTAGAGTCCAGATCTCAATGAATCCTCTGAATGTTTTGGTTTTTTTTGTGTGTGTGTGTGTGTGTGTGTGTGTGTGTGTGTGTAGATGAAGCTCCCAGTTGTTCCAGTTTGACCACTAAGGAGCTGCAGCAGAACCTGAGGGCAGTGAAGCAGAGAGAGCGGCTCGTCAGACTGCTGTTTGAAATCCCCTCCACTCGCATCGTTGACCAGGCTCTGTCTAAATATGTGGTGAGACACACACACACACACACACACACACACACACACAGGGAATCTGAGGTAACACTCACCTGGTCTCTGACTGCAGCTCAGTGGATCCAGATCAGAGACAAGTCCTCATGTTATTAACAAACACGTCTGCACATGTGATTTTAAAGGTCCCTATAGTAGTATATACTTCCTGAACTTTGTGATGTCACAAGAAAGCAGTCTCCGAGCCCCGCCCACCTGGACCCACCATCCAAACCTTGCAGGATTTGGTTTCTCTGAGTGTTTTTACCTGATATCTGATAAAATTTTTATTTGATCAGACTGAACATAAAGACGAGTTTGTTTGTTTGCAGGTGTATGAGATTGTGGTGATGCGTTCAGGCAGCTTCGATTCCCACCGTGTTTCCGTTGAGCGCCGTTATAGCGACTTTTCCCGCTTCCACCACAAACTGCAGGAGGAGTTTGGCGAGGAGCTGGAGGAGGTGCTCCTCCCCCGCAAACTGCTGACGGGGAACTTCAGCCCTGACATCATCTCTGAGCGCCGCCTGGCCCTCCAGGATTACTTGGCGAAGCTGTACTCCGTTCGCTGCGCGCGACACTCGCCGCACTTCCCCACGTTCTTCACCGAGCAGGAGCAGCGGCGGGCGCACAGTCTGCTGAGGGCGGGGCAGTTTCAGGCGGCTCTGCAGCAGCTGCAGGTGGTTCTGGAGATCCAGGAGAAGCTGTTACCGTGGCAGAGCCCCACCCTGATCGTACCCACCGTCTGCGCCCTGGCCATCTGTTATCGGGACCTGGAGCAGCCGGAGCAGGCATTCGCCGCCGCTCAGAGGGCGCTGCCTCCGGTGCGGCGGTACGGACTCAAACGCTACAGGGCGTCTCTGCTGGACCTGCTGGTGGATTTAGGGTACGAGCTGGGTCGGCCTGTGGCCCAGATCCAGGACGAGCTGAGGGCGCTGAGAGACGCTGAGAGAGGAGAGGTGACCTCCCGCTCTCTGAAGGAGCTGGTCGTTCAGGAGTTTGTCTGAAGACGAGGCTGATTGTGGGACCCTGGCCCCGGACCCTGAACAGACTGAACTGAAGACAGAAGCAGTTCCTTATATAATACTGATGTTTATATTGTCCTAAACAATCAGGAACAACAAAGTGAATCTTGAGCTCTTTACATCAAACCCACAGAGCCGAGGACAGAGACCGAGGCTGTCCTTTACTTCAGGTGATGTTCAGTATATTTACTGTGTGTGTAGATCAACCTGCTCTGTCATCTCTGCAGAGGAACCTGTGTGTCAACCTGTTGCTGCTTCTCAACACAGATTACTCAACACTCCAACTGTTTCAACAAAACGAAGGAGAACTGCTGAGACGTCTGAAATTACCCAAGAACCGATTTCACTGTTTGTTCCGTTTTTCTTCAGGTCACTCACTGCGAACATCGCACCACATACACACTAATGTAAACATCTGTAAAGGTCCTGAAACGATCATGAAACTTTAAGAGTCACTGTGTAAAAACTATGACGGTTATTTAAATGTTGGACACAAGAAAAACTGAAGGAAAGTTTCTGAACATTTTGACTTTTGAAAGGAGTTTCTAGCTGAAAGTATGAATGAGTAGAAGGGGTCTGTCCATTCATTTCTACGGGAGAAACTGCAGAAAAAATGGAATATTTCAAAAAGTATGAAATATATCAATAAACTGAATACACCTGATAATGTTCTTAATGTTTTTATGACTCTTTATACCTTACCATACTGTGACATTTCTATGACGTTTTTAATGCTTTATTATACTATGACATTTTTTTTACTTTATTGCCATATTCAAACAGTAGCAGGCAATTAACATTACAGAACAGAACCACCTTGAGCCTGGGCCTCACCTCACATACATGCACCCATACAATAGGTAGGATAGCACCTTGTAGGAGTAGAGCCTTCCCCCAAATACCTCAATTCAGATATGCATACACCTGCATACACACATACATATATACAAATACATCTACACAAACATACACACATGTACAGATACACAGACATAAAGCGAACAAAGATCCTAACTAACGTGATCAATAACTGAAGCCCATCTTCTTGTAAAATGAGGTAACTGTAGCTGGGCAGTCATGTGATTCATCATATAGACATGTTTGATCTTTTCTAGCCACTGAAGGACTGTTGGAGGGTTACGCTTCATCCAACTTATAGTAATTGTTTTTCTTGCAACCTTTAACAGATATTGCAGTATGTAACAGTGATATGTATTAAACCAATGTTCAGGCATTATTTCCAGTAAATACAATAGTGGGTCCATGGAGATGTCTTTCTCCAAAGTTTTGTCCAATTCTTCTTTAATGTTTTTCCAAAATGTCTGTATTTTTAGGGCAGTCCAAGAATATGTGTGTCTGGTCCCAGACCATACAACATTTTCTTCAACATTTGTTGGTATAATTGTTCTATGACGTTTTTGATGCCTTACTACTTATTAGTTTTATATTTATGTGACTTCTACATTCAAACTTTGTAATTCTGGATGAAATGTAACAAACTTTTCTTCATCACATCAAAACAATAAAGAAGAAGTTTGGAAAGGTACGGGAAATGGTTATCCAGGGGCATGGGGCACTGGGAGGAAGAGCAGGACAATGGTTTATCACACAACAGTCAACCTGTCAGACTGTTGCTCTGTCCTCACTGAGCCTATGAGGCTGTCCATCATAGAAGAATTGGGGAAGAAAAAAAAAAATAAAAGAAAAGCTAGAGAGCATCATATGCTCCATCAATAATTGTAATACAATCGGTCAGTTCTGTATCAATAAAGAAGCTAATCCTGATGATCAGTGTTAATGCAAATGCTAGCTCGCTATTCTTTATTTGCAGTTTATTGGTAGCTGCTAATGCTAAAGCTATCAAGCTACCCCCGCTCTGTGTTCTGTTTGTTTTTTCCACGATAAAAAAAAAAAAAAAAAAAAAAAAAAATCTGCTAACTTACATACATCTCAGCATAAAGCAGTCTATGTTACACCTTACCTGGTTGTGGTTTAACTGGTAGTTTATTTGTAGAGCTTTGGTTGTTGAATTGATAAACAGTTATAGAGTAATTCCTCACTACATCAAAGTTCCTTAACAACAAATCAGACACAGCAAGTTTCCAAACAAGTATTTTAATTGTAATATTCAAGCCAAATATCAATAATCACATCCACGTTGTTTTCTGATGCATTCGATATGACGACTTAAATGTAATAAACATAATATCATTTTAACTCATCTTAAATGTTTAACTGTGTGTGGAAATGCAATTACACAAAATATAAACCGTTGAAATAGGCTCAAAATTCTACTTGTAACTTCAGTGTCACACTGTGTGGGAACTTGAGTGCAAAATTTTAAACAAACACTGTCTTTCACATTGTATCTGCATTACTTCACCACTGGTCATTTGTTTGGTTTCATTAACAAAGTCTGTTTTTCTTTTTACAAATGCAAAACTTGTTCAGTGTATTATTGAGGGTAATTTGAAACACATTACGACAGACCTGCATTGTAAACTAGAGTGAAATCCATCATCAACATAAGATGTTAACAGAATCATTTTAACTCATCCTAACATTTTGTTGTTTAAATCATGCGCATGACTCACCATTTCTTGCTTTCGGGGGGCTGCAAAGGTATGGTTCCAGCCTGAGGAGGATTCTGCCAACCCAATGAAAAAATAAATAAGGACATGTCAAGCAGCTCCTCTTTTCACTATGAAATGTTTTTCAAGCATTCTAAGGACTTCAGAACATAAAAGATGCACCAATCAGCCATTTAAAGGTTATTTAGCATATACTGTAATAAAAATGAGACTTTATGAATAAATCTGAACAAATGATACATTTACATGTGAAGAATTTGTAGAAGAGATTCATTTATTAAAAAAAAAAAAAAAAAAAAAAAAAAAAAACCCACACACACACACACAATACTACACAACTATGTACAAAAAGTGTTTTAGAATGACAAAACTCCTGCTGGGTGAGAAGCACAAAAGGTATTGATAAGGGGAATATGCAAAAGATCACAGTATAGACAACATCTGTCATGTGCAGGGATAATACCTGAAGGTGTTGATGTAATGTGGTTGATAACTGAAGAGGCCAAATGCAGAAGAAAAGGCAGGTGCCGGTGTGATAAGAATTCAATGTACACACTATATAACCAACAAATTGAGTAGTACAAATATGGATATACTGTAAAATACATAAACAGTCGTATATTCATTAAGAATCAGCGGTATGAACATGTTTACACTGTGGGTCTGATTTAATCAGTGGTATAGACAAGTCTTACTTTTCAAAGTGAATGATAGCATGTTACTCACCTAGACCCTCCTCACTGTCTGGACTCTCTGCCGTTGGTGAGACAGGTGGAGGCGGTATTGCATCTGTACTGGCTCAGGTCCCGATAAAGACAGAGGGATGCTGAAATCTCCTGAGAAATGTAAAGACCTAGTCTCACTTTCAATCCCACTGGCTGCATCTCCTTAACAAGTTAAGTAAGTGGTTTACAACATGGTGAACCGAAGACGTTATTCACTCGGTCTACTCGGTCCAACAATCTCAAGTTACAGTCATCAGTTACAAGATGAGCTTAAAGTTACTACGTCCCCAGCTCAGCTGTACAACAGCCGAAGCAACAGACACAATCCTACTAACGCCTATAAACGTCTGTGCGACAACGTACAATATCCCACCTGAAATGGTTTTCGGTACGTTTGTCAGTCGTTTGCACTGATTATACTTTTAGAGAGCTAACACTGAAGCTACTCACCTGGCTAAGCAGGAAAGTTGCTGAGCTCGACATCAAACCGCATCTCTTTCCTCTCAGGAGCTGTCTCCAGCGGTGGAAAGCCCATCGAGATTTACTCGTGTTGCTTCTTTTCTTTGCCCGGTTGAAATCGTGGTTTCTTCGGGAAACGGTCCTCGGGATGCAAATGAATATCGCTCTTTAGGGGCAGTTCAGCCATTCCTGGTTTCTGTGATGCTCACCTACGACAAAACAATCGTCGAAGTGTGTTCTTCTCTCCGCTGGACTGAGGGCAGACTTGAACGCGCCCTATCTGACTCACCATCACGTTCTAGCGTCACCAAAAATGGTTATCACAACACAGGACATATGGACTCGGCGCCTGCCGCATTGCTGCGCATGCTGTATTTCCAGTAGAAATCCAAAAACCAGCAACAGATGTGAAGTCTTGATCATGGACATCATCAATTGGTCGCTGTCACACGCTGCCTGATAGTGTCAATTTTTTTTTTTTTTTTTTTTTTTTTAAAAATATAAAATAAAAAAAAGTTCTGGCCACATCTTATATTGCACCTTTACAGCAAAAATCACCAAAGCTGACATTTAAAAAGTAAAGCTACATGTTAATTGTCCACATTGCAAACCAACTTTGTTTTAACTCAACTGTGAAAACTAAGACATTGAGCTTAACTTGACTGATATTGACACATTTGATGCATACAAAACATTTTGATTTACTTTTACGGTATATCAATCTATGCATGGGATCTAAAATACAATCATGCTTTCCCTTATACTTACATAAAATCTGTGATATACAAACATTTATATTTG